CAAGGTTAAAGCACACTCCAACATTCAATATAATGAGGAAGCAGATATTTTAGCCAAAGAAGCATTAAAGTTCCCAATAATAGAATGGCAAGATCTGGACTTACCTAAGATTATTATCGAAATCAAATGGCAAGATATAGTGCTAGATGCTTCAATAAGGCAGTTTGTTAAAAAAACCAATGTCAAAATAATGACATACCAATAAACAATCCAAAATAGAATAGACAAAAAGTGGGGTTATCAAATCCAAGACTAGCACAAGCATACATGGAACCTAGTTTAGGAACAAATGAATAATGGGTACACATGAAATACCTCTTTTAAAGGATCACAAAGAAAAAGCTTTCTTGTTAAGATAATCAGCGATGAGCTATCCACGTTAACAAAACTAGCCACAAGAAGATCAGACTTATATAAACAAGTAAAATATCTCACATGTGGATAGTAGAAAGAGACAATAGAACACTTGCTAGAATGTCCAATATATAAAACTCAGTAGTAAGAAACCTGGCAGAAAGGTATGGAAAAAATAATGCAAGGTTTCAACAAACTCCTGGCAGAGAGAAAAAAGGAGTCAGAAGAAAAAGAGATAAGTCTAACAGTTGATGACAGAATAGAAAGAGAAAAAATGAAAAAGAAAATAGCTCAACTAGTAAAAAGGATCTCAAATACTAGTTGGAATATACTTAGCTTTTGCATGGGACTGATTGAAAAAAATTTAATGGATAAGATAGCAGACTCGAAGTGCTATGGAAAGAGAATCAGTAAAGAAGCAAGAAAGTGGATAATGAAGATGCAGAAGAAAACACGTAACCACTTTAGAAAGAAAATTTGGAATGTTAGATGCAAAAAGGTAATAGAGTGGAAATGGATATTGGGAATCAACAGAGGCAACAAGATCAAAAGGTCGACACATCTACAGAGACAAAGAAACAGGGCCAAGGTACCAGAAAATCGGTCAGATCAAGTATCATTAAAGGAAGAAGAAATAGAAAATATAATGCTCAAACAGGTCCTGCGAGATGGGATAAAGTATGGGATGAAATGGTTGGGTTTTAATCTCTATCAGAACTCAAAAGAGTGATTTACAGTAGTGATCTGCAGGCAATGATATTAGAAGTTGGAAGGATATTTACCTGAACTCCTAATGGAGCAATAAATTACTTCCGAAGTTGCACTTAGAAAGGTAAAACAACCAAGACAAGCGAGTTAGTTAAAGAATTAGCTTTAGCACCTCATATTATATGTACAGCTTACAAATGTTTAATAAAGCAAATGTAACTAGCCTGACAGAGGGCAAAAAATAAAAAATAAAAATAAAAATAAATTTTATTTTACTAATTATTAATAAAATAATTCTTAATTGAAGTTATTCATAATATGTTAAAAAATATAATTATAAATTTTTATATTAAAAAATGTAGTCTAATTATTTGACCCATACTGTATATTACATGTAGCATTATAACATATTATTACAACATATAACCTTACGGCATATATTATTATGGCATAAAGCATTACGGCAAAATATTATAGCATATAGAATTTGTTTTTGATTTCCGGATTTCCAATATACCTACCAGAAATAAATCCGAAAATCACTTTAAATAATATAAATTATTATAGTACGGAAATTTCACTCGAAATAATTGTATTCGCTGTATTAGTGACGCAAGGGTGACGCACGAAAAATTCATGGAGAACACCCCGTGATCGAAAATAGCAACTAGAACTCTGCTGTTAGAATCTTAGTGATTCCTGGAAGTAATAGGATGGATTTTTGCGATGTGTAGTATTTATTAATAAAAGGTCTTTCTATCAAAGTTTTTTCTTTTTTGATTTTTCCGGTGTTACGTCAGTTTTCATTTCATTAGGTGGATCTCGTTCAGGTGTTTTAGAAGAAACAGATTCTCTATCATCCAATTCAAATGATAAATTTTCAACAAGACCCTATAAGAGATACTTATTAATATATGACAGTATAACAGAATCTTATGGAGATAATTGAAATAAGGCTTACCTTAATATTCCAAGCCCACGAAAGAGCAAGACGAAGGTTGCCATAAGATGAATATGACAGGGGTAGATTGAATGATTTTAAGAGATGAAGTCGATATACATCACGTTTTTCCATCATATATATTCGAATTTCGGTCATGTATTGCTGAAAAATAAACAATATTCAATGAAAAATCGTTTAACCATTGACAAAGATGAACTTAAGACCAATCTCACCTGAATCCCGATAGTATAAATATTTGATGTACATCTATTTCTACTTCGAATTTTTTCTAATATGTCATCTAACATGTCTTTGAGCATCCTTGGAAGTTGATACTCATCAGAGCCTCATTTTGTAAGATCATATTTATGAGGACCACCGCAACCCAACCCACAAACAATTTCTTGTTGATTAATTTTGCACACTAAATATGCTATGTGACCCTTTCAAGTAGGTGTTCTAATACATTTTTGTCTTGATTTTTTCTTCGAAGAGTTGCGATCACTGTAACCTCCCCCTAAAAAATAACTCATAAAACTTTTGGTCTAAAAATGGAAAAAAATGAATTGATGCAAAACTTACCACGGAACACGACAAAAAGCATTCAATTTCAGAGCTTCTTTAAATATGGGAATGATATAATCCCCGAACCACTCCCTTTCTCCACAATCATGTTGTTGTATAGGATTATATTCGGATTCAAAAGCATCAAGACTAAAATCATGGTTAAAATGATGGATATGACATAATCGAACCCTGTAAAAAAAGGCTTACAATGGTACAACAGCGCGTTCCGCCCAAACACGTAAATATTCGTAACAAAATGTTCAAGTTTCCAAATATATCTTACTTTTTTACAAAGAGGACTAAATAGGTGATCGCAAATGGATTCAATTTCTTTATGATATTCGGTTTCGGCTATGACAGGTCGATCGGCTATGAGCTCTGCCCATAACTTTGGCTCAAATTCTCCTTCTATTTTTGACTTGGGTGTAAGATCCAGGATAAAGCTGTGTGCCAAACTGTACAAGAGGAATAAATTAAATTATGAAATAAACATAATATGTAATTGATCTAATATTTGCAAAAAAGCTTACTCAAATTTCGAAGTGGTTTGTTTTACACGATACTTCTCCATTATTGAAATTAATGATGGTGAAGCATTCTGAATCATTCTTCGTTTGATTGCCATTTCACAAGGGGAATCATTGCCATCACTTTCAGACAAAAAATCATAACCATCTGGCACAGTATCACGTCTTTTTCCTAAGACACTCTCTGCATTTTCAGAATTTTCAGTACCCTTAAGCTCTTCATTATATTTGAGCTGATAAAACCTGTCAGTTTATATAATATAAACATATGAAACAGAAAGTAATAATTGTAATTCCATACCATTGTGCTATTTACATTCTTGATGGAGGAATTGATATTTACGATGGAATCTTTGAACGCTTCAGTGGTATCTCGCATAATCGAACTAGAGGCCTCGAGCTGCGATTAAAAAAGTCATGGAAATGAGTTTGTTTATAACATAAAATCTGTAAATTTATTAAATAAGAACCTCAGCATGATGTCTCTCAGTTTGATTCCAAAGCATATCAACGTCTTTAAAATATTTACGATGTCCCTAAAGTACAAGTATACACAGAATTAGTAGTCCGTTTCAAAGAAGAGGCATTGCTGGAGGCAAGCACAACGGGCACGTGGACCGTAAGGTGGACAGCGCGTGGAATGTCCCCCTTAGTTGTGTGGGTTCCCTCCCGCAAGAGAGGTCATTGCAACCTCAACATGCAGTACAAATAGGACAAGATAGTAGATGACCAGCGCGTGGAGTAGCCATTAAAATCTTGTTCAGCCTCCCTTAAGCCAGCCAGCAATGTAAAAAATACGATAAAAAACTGAATAAAAACTTTCCTTATAACTATCATTCAACCGAATGGCAACCTTCTTCATTGTCTCTGAGCCATCCTTCAATAGTTTATGAAGATCTTTTTTTAGTAGGTACGACTCTTTTCGAAAAGAGAAAGTAAAATCTGTTTGTTTCGACCGGTGTTTGTAAAAATCTAGGAAGTTATATTCTTCTGGCGATGTTATGTCAAAGTAGGTACTCCACGACACAAAATTTTCTTCGGTAGACATAGTTACAGCTTGAGAAAAAGTGCGAGACGCGTAAAAGAAGGAAAACAACCTAATCAGTTTTATCATGTGATAGATCAAACACCGTCTAAAGTGTGACTAGGGCCGCATATATGCGTTTGGCCAATCAAAAATATGCGTGCGGTAATTTATTATATATACCCTTTATGGCTTTAAAATATGCAAAAAATGCAAAAAGTTAAAAATGCGAAAAAAATGCGAAAAAAAGGAGAAATTTTTATTATATTTATTAATCCTTGTTAAAATATGATTCCTCCAATAATGAACAATATTTATCACTAAGAATATTTCTATAAGATGAAAAACTTTCTTTCTATATCAATCCTCAATACTGGAAGCCAAATATACATTAATGCTATTGTAGACAAATTTGAATGATTTTTTTTATAATTCCAGTATTTATCTAAATCTAATTTATTGTTTTCTCCAAAATCTTCATTTAATTCATAATAAATTCTCCATTCAAATAAAATAATGCTACTAGGATTTTTAAATTCTTTGATTTTACTATATCTTTAAATATTACAGTATATCTTGCTTGACTAACTTGTATAAATTGAGAATTAAAACATTGAATAGCTTTAAATAATAATAATTCAGAATAATGGTCAATATGTTTTTTAAATTTATCTAATGTTAATTGAAAAGCTCTATAAAATATTTCTTGAAATATTGATAAATCCATATTTGAAAAATTAAATTTGATATTCATTTCACTACTAATTGAAAATTGAATTATATTCAATTGTAAATAAGATTCAAGTAAATCTAATTTTATAAACACAAAATATGCTATAGGTTTATTGTGAATTTTAAAAAATTCTAAACTATTATAAAGACTATAATAACAAAAAAATAATTATTAATTAATTAATTAATTAAAATTATAATATAAATAACTTACCTTTTATATTAAATGCAATAAACATTGTTAAAATTTTGAACATAAAAGTATTTGTTAAATTATTAAACATTGTAATTAATTCTTTAACTATCTTACTTTCATTATTTGTATTTTCCTCTTGAAAAAAAAAACTTTCAAATAATATAAATATTTTTCTATTCAAAAAACAAAATTAAATCAAGAATTCCATCTAGTTTTTGCAGATAAAAAAGGTAAAGTTGAATTATTAAAAAGGAAAAATAAATCTAAAAAAGAAATTTATCTTCTTTTATAAGAATTATTTTGAACAAAGGATGTTTTTATATTTTGAATTACAATTTTTAATAGTTTAAAATTATTAAATTCTATCTAAATATTATTCATCAAATTTAAAATATATGCAAAACAACAATTATGTTTTATTTAAGAAATTAAAGGAGATAAAACAGTAAAAGCTTTTAGCATATATAAAATATTATTTAAAATGAATAAAATAATATTTTCAAAAAAAATATTATAAAAATAAATAGTACACATAACTAATTGTGCAATAAATAAATTTTCTATAATTATCAAATATTCAGTTTTAATAAATTTTGTAAAATTTTTAAAACTAAACAAAATATTTGCAATTGTATATCCACAACTATCAGTTGATTTATTAATAGTAATTGAAATTGTTTATTCTATTAAAACAGTTTTTAAATTTTTTAATTCTATATTATATACAATTAATAAATATTTTTCTTTAAGTTGTAAAGATCCAAAAATAGTATTTCCTATTTATAATAAAAATAAATTAGAAAAAAATATATAATATAATATAATATAACTTATCATTTTCACAATATTGAGACAAAAATGGTTTAAGCTTATCAATTTTCTTTAATGGTATATTTGTTTAAGTAAATACTCAAACCAGATCTATATTAATTATTTCATAATCATTTGCTAAATCAATTAAATACATAAGTGTAAGTTAATATATCTTTATATGGTTTTTTTTTATTATTTTTATATTTTTTAGTTTTCAAATATTGATTAACTAAAAACTTTTTTTCATGAATTACTACAAAGTTACAAAAAATACAAAATAGTTTTTTGCTTTCTATATAAAAATTTTCTTAATAAAGATCATATTCTTATTAATGTTCACTAGCAATAATTATTTTTTTTAATAGATAATAAAAAAAAATTATGCTAACTATACAAATTATATAATATATTATAAATAATATATTAGATATGTATCCGATATGCTAGATAAATATAAGATGACAAAAAAATATATACTCTTTTCACTGATTTCTACCTATACATAAAAAAGATATTTGTAAGAAATTTTTTATTTCTTTGTTAATAAAGTCTTAATACTATTCTTAAATCAACTTGAAGTTTTATTTCAAAAGATACTCCTAAATCCATTTTTTGTTTATATTCATCTTTAAACAAAAACTTGACTTTCTGTGACCTAGAAAAGTTAAAAAACACTTTCTCTATCTATGACAAGAAAGTTCAACAAAGAAAAATTAATAGTGTAATACTTAAAGCTTTTTATATTAAAGCATATCTATAGAGGTTTTGTATAGTAGGAGATAGCAAATATCAAGTTATATTTTCAAAATATCTGCCTACTGTTTTTTTTCTCTTATAGTTGTCCAAAATTTTTTTAGTTTTCTAATGAATTTTGCTATCTCAGTTTGACCCTGAATTTTAGATAATACAATCTATTGCAAAATATAATTAGTAAATACAAAATATATTAGTAACTGAATGTAAACAAATCTCTATTGATTGTCTAATGTATTCCAATAATGCTATTAGGGATTGAAAGAATTGATTGATACCTTGTATTCATCTCACTTCTCCAATTGAATTAACCCATAAATCAAGTTCCATGAAATCAATAAGATATGAGTAACAAGTCTTCAAATGATAAAAAGGCTGCTATCTATTCAAGCTAAGATCTTTCTTTCTTATCATCTCAATTAGGCAAAGTTCAAGACCAAGGTCTTCTTTTTATTTCAGTTAGATAATAAAATTGAATAGTCTTTAGTTCATACTAAGCTTCAACACTTTGATTACAGTTGAGAATACATTTTTCCAAAAGTTATTGAAATATATTGCAATCAACAAGAATCTCTATTACTTTTAAGACCCTTATATCATTACAAAACAAAAGGATTATTGGAAAATCTGGTCTTTTAGATAATGAAAAATGTATATCAGTAAAATTCCTTTAACTAGGTGTGACTGCTGAAAGGTATTATACTAAAACAATATGACCTAGTTTCTATTAGATCACATAAGAACTTGGGGTTTATTATAAGTTACCTTTCTATCACAGATAAATAAAAAATTACTGCTCAAAGAAGGTTGGAACCAAGTGTGTCCTGAAAGTAAAAGCTTCTACTAGATGATAAGTCTTTTTAGATAGTATATGAGAAGGAAATCAAGATCAAAAATAGATAAATTTTTCAGATGGTCAGAAAAAAAAAGAATATCCCAATCAGGTATTTCTTATTGAGAAAAGGTCTTGAGAACAGGTCTTTAAAGAAAGCTGAAATTTTTTTTTCAATTTTTATCTTTTTATTTTTTTATTGTCTATTTAAACATTTTTAGATATCCTCCTTTCTCTTTTTTTTTCAACATATCCTTTTATAATTTCTTGTATTCCAGTGACTTAATCAAATATATAATAGTAACAATCTACTAGCAATAATGCAATATACTAGGTGGGTTTTCACCCAAAGACACTGTGAAATAAAATATTGTTCTCAAGGTCAAACTTAAAGATTTTTATACTCATAATAAGTTAGTTAGTTTATAATAATAGTTTAGCTATAAATATATCATACTGCTCAAATAAAGATATACTTATATTTTCAATAAATTAATAAAAAAATATATATGTATAAGGTGACAAATATGTAGTCACATATAATAAATAGAAATTATTATTTTCAAAATATTGTGAAATATAAAAAAAAAATGAATTGTCTATCTTCAAAATGTTTTAAATTTACTTAAAGATATGCAACTATTTAAAAAAAAAACTTTTTCAATAGCAATACATGAACAATTTTCAACTTTAAATAAATAGAAAATTCTTTATAATATATAAAAAAATCAATAAAAAAATAAAAAAATAACTTTATCTTAATCATTATATAAGTAAAAAAAAATAGAAAAACTCATACTCACTATTAGAAAAAAAGTTCTTCAAGTATAAAACAGAAAAGAAAAAACAAGATTATTATTGTTTTACTAATCAATTTAGATATAACCATATTGGTCAAAAAATTAAAGCTATCCTTTAAAAATATAAAGAAATATTGAGTATCTATATTTATAATTATTTCTGTTTCTAGAGAAAATATGATTTATCCTAAATTAACCTAAAAACTTAAACAATAGATAGTTTATTTAT